GGGGGCGGGCAGAAAAGTCATGCTAACTTCTCACATTTCATTTTACCCTTCATACTTTTGGCTAACACTGAGAAATAGAGTTGGTGATGTATGTTCATCTCCTTTTACTTGAATTACCAAAAATGTAGCTTACCTATAAGTTCCACTATGCTCCCACTGCGGATCCTGCTGGCAGATTCATCTTTGGATACACTGACCTGTGCAATGCCCCCTGAAGCGGTCAGGGCATGGAGAAGTTCAGGTGGTGGCGTTCTAAAGAGTTGTTGTAATAATTCTAAAGCTCCAGTCACAACATTATGGTCCTGATGCTGGGTGTAATGCAGAGTCAATTCATAAACCTAAAACCCAACAAAGTACTGGAGTAAGTCTCTATGAAGACACAATATACTATATTTCTTCTCATATACCACATAAAATTTCAGTGATACATTAAAAGTAACTGATATTTGCTATATCTAATCTTCACCACTGTCTTCCAAGGGGAAAGTGTCAACTAATTGCTGCCATTCAACTGCCTTTTCGGTGGAATTCTGGTGTTTCTGTTTATTTATTCTGTTATTTATAGAAGGAGGAATCACATCAAAGAACACTATAATGATTATGAAGTTCTTTAGCTCCTTTGGGAACACCTAACAAGTACTGTTGATGAATATTTCTGGGATTTCTGGTTATTAGCATTATTTATCAATAATTCCAGTCACTGGACCAACTATCATTTACCAAGGTGAATAGGAATTTGAGAAAAGAATTCAGAATGTTCAACATCAAGCTAGTGCTGTATCATACTATATGCAAGATTTATTTCTTTCCCTTCCAATTAGTAGTCTTCAGGTTAATGGGTTTTTTTGGGTTGGTTTGTTTGGGGTTTTTTTTTTTTTGTTTGGTTCGTTTTTTTACAGGTTTATTTTACCTGTATAAGTTGTTCTGGTGAAGGTGAAATCTCTGTTTCTTTTCTTGTTACGCCAAAACTGCCTTTCAGACTGGTATCCTTTACTTGTTGTTGCAATAAAGGTATGAGATACCTTAGCGTAAGTAAAACACCCAGAATTAAAAGAGTAGGATGATCATCTTCTACAGGAACCAACAAGCCTGGGGGTAGAAAAGCAGCAGCCAAATCACTTATTGACAGTAGTTAGTTTCAACACGAATGTTATTTCATGCAGTCCGTAGAATAGCTTCTTTAAAAAAAAAAAACAAAACAAAACCTAGCAACAACTTAAGAATGCTTTCTAAATGTAGAAACATTTGAAAATATGCATTGTTTAATATTCCTGACAATGATTTAAGCAATGTGGGAGAATCAGAGGACCCTGTCTCACCTTTCTGTTCCCTACCTCTTTTCGCTCAATAAAAAAACAAAAAAATTTTTTCATAATACCTGATGCTTTCACCAAGTGATCTAGACTCTCTTGCTCCCCTCACCTGCCTCCTCTCTCCACTTGGCAGCTTAATTAAGGCCAAACATAATTCCCCTCACACATGTGCTACTATCCTAATGAACAACATTTACACTTTTGCCTCCTCCCTCAAGTATTGGGAACCTTGTTCCATATACCTACCTGCTAATCACAGAGTCAAACCCAAAACATATTAAGAACAAGTATGTTATGTAAGAAAACACAGCGTTCTATGCAGGGCGGCCGGGGGGGATCAGAATCAATTAATGGTGTTCCTATTAGTGCTCCTGTCCAAATTCAGCACCATTGTCAGGACATTATAAAACACCACCTTTGAGGCAGAAAAGAACAATGTGTGCACAGAACTACATCATTTTCTAGTCACACAGAGTGAGGAAAGTCACTACATGGCATTTGAATTTTTCACCCGTTCTTAAAAACAGCAAGGCTAACAGGATAATGCTTTATATATCTGTTGGTCTTCCTTACCTCTCCTTTTGCAATATAGTCTGCATAGTAAAGAACCCCTCGTCAGTAACAAAACTGAGGCAAAAGTTTCCACTACAGTTCAGATAAGCATCTCACCATGAGTTGCAAAACACCCCAAAGACCAGCTGGGAAGTTTGCATGAAGAAATATGGAAGCAGTACCTGATGCAAAGTTGTGTGCTTTTAAATAAAAAAATTCCATTTCTGGTCCAAGTTAGGTTTTCAATAAAGAATCTACATGGTGGTACTTCTAAAAAAGGTTACAGGGTATGTGTTCACAACCCAGAGAACAGCAGTCATATCCTCCACCTCAGACCTGCTGCACTAACAACCAAGCTGCTGAACAATGCAAGTCTTCACAGACTCCTGAGCAAGTTCTTCCAAAATCCCTGGATCTCCTCGTTTTCCAACAGGCTACTTGCTTCCCTAGCTTTGGATGTTTCTTTTCAACATTAGTGAATTAGCACTGCAGCACACACAGAGATACGAATAGCTTTAGTCATATCTTCATCTAACTTAATACAAAATAGAGAAAGCATTAGCAGTGTAACTGGTAGTCTAAGTATCCTTGCTTTAGCCTGAAAACCTCTCACATATGAAAAGTGTCTTACGTGGAAAAAAATTTCATTTTACTTATACCTGAAGCAAATTTCATTTTTTTCCTGAATCTTACCTAAAAGTACATTCAATAACCAGGCATAAAAATACTGCATTCTTCGTGAATGTTGACAGATGCTTACTGCTGATCCTGCCGCTGTTCGACGGATAGTAGGGGAACTGGATTTAAGATTAGCTATGAAAGCCTTCAATAAAACCTAAAAACAAAAGATATCTTACTTAACTTTTTATGAGAAAGAAAAGGAGACAGAAGTGAATTAAGTCAGTAAATGTATTTTTCATTCAAAGCATTACTTAATGTACATCAAGCAAGGGCAACTTTTGCCTTAATTCAGACATGCAGCTGTGACACTGCTTTCTGTAACATCTGATTGATAATGCTGATAGCTTACTGTGCTTTGAGATATAACAGGGAGCACTAATAGGTTAAAGAAAGATACCTTAATCTCATTGTCATTTGCAAAATTGCCGAACGCTGCCATGATTTTTGGTATTGCTGCAGCTAGTGTCTCTTGTACCGATTCTTCGGGTCTCTTACTTATTCGTGTTAGACAGGGCAAAAGGTTCACTAAGTATGGCCTAAATATGACAAAGGAGAAAAACTAATTTGAGACCAGAACAACTGTAACCATCTAAACATTTTTAATTCGCACTCAAATTCTGTGGTATTACTAAATCATAAAAAAAATGTACCTGTTAGCTACATAGAATGTAGAAAAAAGACAATAGTCTTCTGAACACAATTTGCAGACATTAAGATAGAACTAAAGAGAAGAATACACTTAAAATACAAGTCATTGTCTTCACAAGCTTTTCTCCCCAAGTCATGTACAGCACAGAACTAAAACTCCGCTAAAAGAAAACCAGCTAATCAAATAAAGCTACTTCAGAGAGAATAATGTGATAGGAATTCTTCCAGTCTCCCAGTTATATATCTAAAACTTGAGAACAGTAACATTTTGTTAACATCTATATTTTGTTAAGTGTTCTTTGGAAAGTTCATTACTAGGATGCATTTACCTGCATTTTTGAGGCCGAACTAGATGGGCAAGCTCAGCAAATCGCCAGAGTGCAGCACGTAGACTTCTGGAAGCACCATTCTAGACAGAGTGTATAGTTGTTACATTTCATCAAGCAAAACTATTGCCTCAAACATACCTATACAATAGCATACAGTTTTATACCATTTTACTTAAACAGAAAAAAAATATAAGGTGTTTGGAAGCCATAAACCTCCTTTAGCCAGAAGGAAGTCAAGTCAGCTCCATGACTGCCTTTATTTTTCTAGCTGGTATTTGGAATTTTCCGAGTGACCCAAAATGAATAATGAGGAACACCAAGAAGGAAGAGGAAGTATCGGAGATCTCCACTCTGCTGAAATCAGCTTAAAATACCACAGAGAAAGTCATCAACCAACAAAGAAACACTGATGATATATGAGAGTCTAAAAAATCACTGGAACACTTGCAGAGATACAAATGCAGCATAAAATTGACAGTGGTGGAGATATGCAAATAAATAATGTTTAGCTCCTTAGCGCACCAAAAAATCCACGTATTGATCTGTCTCACTTCATAATGGCTTACATGCTGAAGTTTAATATCTGTCTGTATTAACACCTTCAGCTGTGCACCTGACTTGAGCCAGAATGCCTTTAGACCCAGTGTCTAAGGATGTAGTAAAGCTCCTCAGTATTGTTGGAAATACAGAAAACTATGGAAGTCAATAGATGTCTAGGAGAAATTGTGTACCTAATGTAGTTCGAACCTAACCAAAATGCTTGTCAAATCAAGTCCCTCTGAAGACAGAGCTGAGATGTTTAGAAACTGTCATTTCTTTCTTATTTTCTTTAGCTAGTATATCAAAGGCTCACAGTCTTGTTAGCATGACAAGTAAAAAACCTTGCACCTGAATTACAAAATGTGCATTTTTCAGGTTCAGAGCCAAACAACAGATTCTGACATGGGTCCTAAAGTGATCCAACTGATGCACAAACAAAATTCAGTCTGCTGGGTGCTTCTGTTATGCTTGCTACCTCTCTCTCACCTCTGCCATGAATCTGAGAGCAACTATTCAAGAAGCACATGCCACCTGAACAAAGTATTTCCCCCCGCACCTGGTCATAACATGCAGAAACTTCAGAGTGATTTTTGTTTATGTTGGCTGTTTTTTTATTAGTTAGCTAGACATCCATTTCTATACCCTCGAAAATTTTGCATGACATTAAGGTACAACAATACAGTAAGATATTCATACAGGGCCTACAAGTAGTCCACATCTGACAGAAAAGCTATCCACATTGCTTTTGTTATTTACTTTATTTTCTAGAGTCCTATCATTCCCAAAGAAATGTAACAAAAAGCAATAGCATTACTGCCTGACAAATAACACCTACTATTTTCTTTCTATACAAGCCTTGCTGTATGTTTATAGATGCAAGAGACATGATTTCAGTGATACTGTCCTGAAGACAGCATTTTTCTTTTGTAGTTATATACTTAAAAAAGGCTATTACTAAAATTCTTCCCATGGACATAATTAAATTGTGACTTTTGGTGCAAAGAGAGATGCTTCAGCATTTTTACCTATGCTTCTTACAGAAGCTGTAACTACACATCACATACAAGTTTTAACTACTTTGTTTTGTGAATCAGGTCACTTCAGGTCTTGATCAAATGACTCCTCCAAGAAGTTACGTCAAATTAAGAACATCACTGTCCTCCACCTACTATTCACCACCCTTTTGCTTGAAGTTATTCTTTCCAGCTCAGTCAGTGGAGCAAACATGATGAATATGCCTTATTCATTTGGGTGCAGAGTCACTAAGGTTAACTCAGACTGCTGTTCACACCAAATGCTCACACATTTTCTGCCAGATAAGCTTTCAGGAGTGGTTAAATCTAAACAATGGGACCAATAGTGAGGAACAGGTAGAATAATACATTAAACAGTCACAGATCCTTCCAAAGTGAAGCTTTGACCGTGATCTTAAAAGACGTATGCTATTTATTTACACTAATGCCACATTCCAATACACTAAAACACTTACTAAATACCATATTTCAAAAGGACATGAAAGTAAGAAGCTCACCTTTTTAATCTCTTTATACAGTTCTAATTGTAACCTAGGAAGATTGGAATCCATCAAAGCCTGCAATAAAACACATTGAGAATGTACTGTATTAGAGGGGAGGCACTTTACAGGAATAAGTTACACTTGCAATAAAACAGCTTCAAAAATGGTACAGAACTATCTAACTGCCCCCATATTTGATCTATAATCAGGAAAGTGCTAAATACTGAAAAGAGACACCTTTATGTTTCACACAAACACAAAACAAATGTGGACAAATTCCACAAACTCTAACAGTTATTTGCAGTTAATATTGACTGCTTTACCCATTCTACCTAAAAAAGGCCATATGGGATCAGACTACAAGCAGAGCCAACCTAACATGCTTTTTGGCAATCGCCAGGAATAGGTACTCATGAATAGAATATTAAAACACAAAAATAGTATTCACAAGCAGCGACAGGTATTCCCTGCTATACATCCCCACCATCAAGTAGCCTCCTACTCTTTCTCAAACTGAGGCTGTATTTGTACCATTACCTTTAACAGCCCTTGAAAAACCCTTCTGTCATGAATTAGCCTATTTTCGGCATACGTTTATTACAATGTGTTCTGGACACCAGAAGTATCGCATCCCAGGATCTAATCAAGCATAGTGCAACAGAGCATACATTGTAGTTTGAACCTGCAGCCTGGCTAAGAACTAGGGTACATGAAATGAAAGTAAGCACTGAGAAGTAGTAATTTTCTGTTCACCTCAACTTGATCATTCTCCCTCCATCTTTAAAATGGCAGAGAAGAAAAAATATGAAAAGAGTTCCGCTATATATAATCTCTTCCTACGGAATATTTTGTATACCTACGATTACTCTCTCTTCCATTTTTTTTCCTAGTGCATACTACTATCTATGAACATTTCCACCACCACTTCGTCAGATGAAATGAGAGCTTAATACAATGTGCAAGTGCCTGCATTATGTATTTATAGAGTGCTATAGTGTTTAGTATTTTATTCTTTATTCCTTGTCCTATAACGTAATAATTTCTAACTTTCTATCTGCCTTCTTGACTACCAACCATTAAGATCACATCTTCACAGGATTACTCTTACACAGCACATGCTGATGTAGAGGCCACAACCGCTTAAGCATAGTCAGTGAAGTGCCTGTGGCTCCTCCAGAGCATGATTCCCCTAGCCTAAAACTGTATGCCCCAAAACTTCATTCCCCCCAATTATACCAGGCATTATAATAAAATGGTATTACCTTCCCCAGAAAAATCTTACCTGGCTTGTATCTTTATACTGTCATAAGCATCCCAACTATTAACTGCAGGTGCCTAGATGACAGTAGGTAGGGATAAATCTCACTTACTTCACACAACTTAATTTTCATGGGAAGTTCACTGCCCCTGTATATAAGGATATCAAGCAACACAAAAAGGCACCAGCTACTATTTTGGCTTCAAGGGTAGGTTGTCCTTACAACACACGCAACTGGATCAACTCTTTCTACTAGTGTCTACCTGTATTTTTAGCAGGCTAGAATCCAAAAAGTCATCCCAATCAGAAAAAGTTACAAGCACAGTCAACCCTAAATTACTACAAATAATAAATCCCAATTACTGAGACCAACTGTACTCCAATCTGCACGAACAGTCCCACCAGTATCATTAGCACAGAGACTACTACATCATACATCAGCTTCAGAAACAAGAAACAGTAACACCTTACCCACAGGAATCTGGTAACACCAAACTTCGTATTTTTTCTTTTAAATAAAGGTATCACCAAAGCTGTTTAAACTTTGAGCCATTTATGCTGTCTGTGAGGTTCTGACAGGTAAGTGTAGTGATAATTAAAGATGACCTACAGAGTGTTATCTAAACTTATTTGCTGTTTCAATTTACAGCCTTGTCCACACAGAAGTGTTAGCATTTTAATACTAATGAGCATAAACTCCAGACACACAAGTAATGCCTACATCTATATTCTTATATTTAAAGAGAAAAAATATAAAGCATCTTTCTAGCAACAGAATTAGTCTCTAAAATGCCTGAGATACTAAAGACAGCTGAACATTAACTAATATGCAAGCTTAGGGGCCCGACGCCTCTGTTCCACTCATCACAAGCATCACTGCTAACTTGCACAACCAAAAATAAAACTGCACATCTTTTTGTCTCTGCATTTATACACGAGAGAGCATCTGCCTAAAGACTAAGTTGCTTCCAGACAGCATAAAATATAGAAACAGAATGCAAACTATGACCAGCTTTGGTAACAGTCCGATACATCCATGTGGTTGGAATATCACAACTATTACCATTTCATAGCTGTGACCAACTGGCAAGCTTAATGACTGATAGAAGGCTCCATCATTTAAAGTCACTTTAATCTTTAAAACAAAATGAAGTACCATACAAAGATTTGAAAAAAAATTAAAGTTTCTCAAGTTACCTTGAAACATGCCAGAAAACAACAATATTAACTAGATCAGTGAATTAAAGAGGTCAATTTTATACCAAGCCTACAGAAGAATTTGGTGTAAAGAAGGAAGTTTGCATTCTTTAGAACTGTTTCAGAGCATGTTTTAAAGCAAATTAAGTTACCTATTGGTGTATGCATTTCATAGAGTGCTAAACTCCTGCAAATTTAAATCAGAATGAATAGAGCAAAGTGCTACAGGGCAAAGCAAAAAAAGCAAAAGACACTTGCACTTCCTCATTCCCTATCATTACGGAATACACTACATAATCAGTAAGCCTTCTCCATACAACTTTCAGCCACAAGCTCAATGCCCAAAACTTAAATCATTTGATAATTATTTGTTTTATTTATTTGATATTCATTTATTAATATCTATCGAACAAACAGAACTTAACTGAGAGAAATCCCTACAGAAATAGGGATGTTTTATTTGCTTGCTTCTACACATCCCTTCATGCTAAAGAAAATTATTATTTGTATATTTCTAAAGCACTTAAACTTTGCATCAACTAGATTAATTATGCAGGTACATTACATTGACTCAAAGGTCAAGTATTTCAGAAAACAGGGGAAAAAAAAAAAAGAAAGGGCAGGTGAAGATAAACCTGTCCTGGAAGCAGCAGCTCACAGCAATTACTCAAGAGGTTCATTTTAAGGTACTTTGAATCGAGATTTAGACCTTGCCTGACCTCATACAAATGCCCACCTGCTGTTCTCCAACAAGCCCTTCATTCTGGATCACAGTAGGGTAATAATCTCCAGAACACCATATTTATCCTAATTATTGCCTAAAAGCTCCTCCTCCAAGTCTCAGCAAATCACACTACCTGAGTGACAGCATACTACTAGTCTGGAATGAAAAGCCACTACATCTTTCAGTCAGCTTTTTAATCATATTTTTACCTTTCCTCACGTTAAGCATCTTTAAGTTTACAGAACAATAATAGTGTATTCCTCCCATACAACAAGATGATTTTAGAAAAGTCCACGTTCTTGTTTCGGTTAACTTGAAGAGAACAAAGTTACTAAACGACTGAAGAAAAGAATAGATTAGAATGATGAATGACAGAAGACAAGTTAAGTATCTTGATCTGGGCATAGAAAGCTCTCCTAAGAGCACATACAGAATTTAGTAAAGAAGCTTACTTAGCCTCTTACATTATGAGCTATTATCAACAATGAGAAAAGCAACTAAAAGAACATCAGTGTGAATTCATACAGGACAATGCATCAAGAAGAGGTAAAATCTGGTAGTACAGTATATGAAAGTTCTTACTTTAATAACTTTATTAAGGCATTCATCAGCAACCATCCGGACATCAGATTCTGCATCCTCACTGCAGAGGAGAAAGAGTTCCATAGCAATCCCCAGCAGTTTCTGAAATTCTGGAGAATTTCTAAATAAACAAACATTAGAAAATTACAATGTGCACTATGAAAAGCGAACAGCAATGCTATTTTTGAGAGGGTTTCAGAATCCAACTACAAATATATTATACATGAGGAGAAGACATTCAGTGGATTGAAGCACTTCCTTAGGAGTTGGGAAATCATTTCCCTGCTCTTTCCTACATGGACTGGCAAGGTATTTGACCTCTGTGCCTCAGTGTCTCTGTCTGAGGTAGAAGGATAATGCCAACTCTACCAAGGCTTAAACAAAATTACTTCTTAGATTTTGGGTTGGGAAAAAAAAAATATTGTGCCATTTCAGCTTTAAACAGAAGTTGGACATTTAAAATCAGCAATTATCAGGAAACCTCCAAATAACTAACACTACAAAGCAGCTATTCATAGTAATGCAATAAATTAAAGACATTGTCTTACCTTAAAGACTGAGCAACTATGTTTTCACATATTGTTAGGCAATGATTCACTCGATCTTTCTTTGTAGTTGAAAGTTCTTTCTTTCTAAAAGAAGAACACAATGATAATGAGATAAGACTTCAAAAGTAAGCAGTGACCATTTAAACACTCTTGTTAGAGTAGCATCTAATGATTATACAAGAAAAAGATGCACTCTTCTGGTCATTATATAAACAGCTGTATGCCAACTACCTGTAGGCCCAGGACTTCATACACTAACTACTGTTGAGAGCATGCAGGCACACAGGCAAAGGGAAGGATATAAACTTAGAAAAAGAATGAACCATTTAACAGGGAATATCATATTAATTCCTTAAGTTTCACTGAGAAAATATTTGGGAAACAAAAGTGAAGAATGAAGAGGAGCAAAGGGAAAGGAAGGAAGTGGAACAGACCTAGAACAAAACTAAAATAAAGAAACTGATAGAAAGAAAAAGGTTGGGGAAAATAAGCCATGAGAACAAGCCTTGCAGACCGAAAAATACCACTTTTAAAGAGATCTTCCTCACACATTAGACTTCCTAAGCCACCTTAGACTTTTTTTGTCTGGCAAGTTCTTGAAACTTAGAGTTCTATTAAATCAACCATTTTTTATCTGAGCTGGAAAGGATGCAATCCTATCATACACCACATTCCTCCAAATGGTTCTGCAATTATAAAAATAGCAAAGCTCTAGGCACAGTCTATGCTCGTCAAGAATAACATCCCTGTAGTAACACTTAGTATAGTCCAGGAAAGGCCAAGCTTAATCAACTTGCAGCAAATGAGCGTAAACAAAAAGAATAAAATTTACAGAATCAAAGAACATGTATCAACAAGTGATGCAGAGCACAATATGAAAAGCTTCTACTTTGCAAAATTTGTTTAACGTTCATTTCAACATGATACAAGCTTCTATAGCCCTTTACGGCCCAGTCTAGAACAGAACCTTCTTCCCTGCTCCACCCCCAACAAAGGAACTCAAAAAAGGAGAGTGAGAGAGATTCACAACTATGACTGAAATTTTATTTCATTGTATGCAGAGCCTCCTACTCTTAACTTTACTGACATAAAATCACTTCTAGGAAAGCAGACGTTACTTTTAAATAATTAACCAGTAGCAATCAATACTGAAGCCAAACTACACACCCAAAGGTACCTCTCCTGGGTGTGTTTCACAACAAGGAGGTACCTGCTTCTTCACTCACATTCACAAAGAATCTTCCCTTTTGTTTTCCAAGTGAAAACTGATCATCTGTATCTTTAGCATTTAATTTTCTGTCTTAGAAAAACTAGCAAAACCATCAAACAGCAAAACAGTGTTTCTGAACTAGAAGTTGGAAAACACCGTGAACAGCCTTGAGATACATTAATATAGTTAACACAGCATTAAGGACCAACAGCAAGTAGCCAATAAGCACATTAAATTAAGCTAACTCAAAATACATTATTAGACAAAAATTTTTAAGAATTAAACTGTAATATTTAAGAGCTTTAGCTCAAGTAACATGACTGGTTTTGAAAAAAGTCATTCTTTGCAAGCACCCCTGTCCTTTTTCTCCCATTGAAAGTGAGGGGTTGAAAAGTGTTTGCTCCCAAGATTTCAGTTTTTCTCCCAAGGATCCTCTCATCTCACTCCAGAAATGCTTTCCCTTTTTAAAAGTTTAAGGAATAGTTCTGAACAAAACCATTTTTCCCATTATAATTTGGTAGTATTTTATTCAGGTAAGCTTCAGCATTCCTCAAAGAGGATCTCTTCTTTGGCTTGCCTTCTTAAGCAACTGGCAGAATATGAGTAGCCAATCTGAATTTGATCAAGATATACGCCATCTTTCTCTCTATCTTGAAAAAGCGCCGCAGAGCCTTTAACAGCACTTTGAGATCACCTCTAACAAAACAGCAAATACTTCCTAAAATGTCAAGTACTGTTGATATGGACAGGCACCTAAGAAACTGAACAAATAATTTCAACTTTTACGGTAGTTTTACCTAGCATTGCCCACACCTTTTATATGAGCACCATTTTCAGTACACATTCAACCCAAGAATAGAACGGGCGCATCTGAACTTGCTCATAAGCTCACTATTTCAGATACAAAACACATTAAAGATATTGCTCAATAAGACTGCTTTCAGAATAAAGTTCTTTATTATCTACACATAATATAGCCCTGAGCAAGGCAGGCAGTAGGGTTCAATACTACTCAGACTAGTACAGATCAACCTCTTCAGCAGATTTATGTGAACAGAGAGCTCACCTAACACTGAATCTACCACCTCACTGAAATAAATAACTTCAAATAAATTTTAAAAGGCCTGAACAGAGAAAATTTAATATGAAAACTTAAAAGGAATGCATATAGTTACCAAGTTACCATTTAAACCGAAATAACAGAAACTAGACTGTCAGTTACTATCCAAAGGGAAAAGAACAACAAGAATTCAACCGAGTTTGCTGTACTGGACCTTTCATCTGCCATTTGGTTATTCAACTTCCAAAAAATCAGCCTTTGAAGGAATGAAAGAAAAGGTGAAGACAAACACTTAATGTACATTGTGTGCATGCACACAATTTCTGTGCCTACAGAGAGAGAAGAATAACAGAAAAGTATCTGGAGATAGAACACATGATTTTTTATTTTTAAAAAAAAAAGCTCTATTCAGAAGTACTATGAAGTCCTCAGGCAAACTACTGATGAGCATACCCAGGGGGACAACAACAGCATCACATATTTCTTGGAAGAGAGGTGAAGTAGCAAGCCCCAAGTGTAAGGTCATTTCAGTTTGATGAGTAACAGAAGGCAGGAGATATTGGAAGTAGCTGTTATCTACAGGAAGGCTTCATCTCACAGGCAGAGCTGTTTCATCTTCTGCATGCTTCTACAGACAATCTCTAGCCAAGAAGATTAATAAACAAAATAAGAAAACCAGCAAGCCCAGATAATTTTTCATTCCGGGTCCTGATGAGCTGGTTACAAAGAGATGCAGCTCATCGATGCTAATTTTTATTAGGCCTTGGAATTAAGGATGTGTAAAAAGAGTACAGAAGCTCTAAAGCTGAACCAGCATTAAGAAAAAGGGTCAAGCCAAACGGCTTGGCATTAATCTTGAGAAAAGTAATGGGAAACTCAAAAGATTCTATTAATAACAAACAGAAATATGAGTGGATTAAGAAATAAACTAAGCCTAAACATGGTGGACACTTCAAACAACATGTAGTAACACAGACAATGATGGATAGTCAAATAAAGTACAGGTCTACAACACACCCTAGAAATGGTAACTCCAAAAAACCATCTAGGAACCACCACTGACAAGCAGGGCAATAGGTATTATCCACACAGTTCACGTGGTCTTCAGTTAAGCAAAAACTTCATGATACCTCTACATATAGCACTGATGAAACATGAAACCAACCTATGACCACAGCTTCAGTCAAACAAAAAAAATCCAGAAAAGTTCACGAGTATAGAAAAATGGATATTGCTGGAGAGCCCTTTGGCTGTTGCAGCACCTTTTGCTGTAAAGGTACTGGCTAGAATCAAATGTAAGGGAAAAAATAAAATTGGAAATAGAGCACGATGACAAAACATTACGAGAATTAACTATTAGAACAAGTTAACAAGAGAAAAGGTGAAGAATCCACCTTTGGATTAATCAAATCAAAGCTAAATACTTTTCCAGAAGAAACATTAGCAAGTTGTTCTCTCAACTCACTGATAAGACGTAAAAATGAATAAAACGTAAAATATAGGATGTTGTGTGACAGCCCATCTGCTTTTTAATTTCACTCTGAATTTTTACATCATACTAATAAAATTTTAAGTTAGTGGGAGCTTTGTAGTCCAAAACAAAACACCAAATCCCAAAATTTAAGGGTCTGAAAAAGCTAAAAATAGATATGGAGGAAAATAAGGTGCCTCAGCAGAAGTGTATAGAAGCAATACGATGACAGAGAGCTCAACCTAAGTTTTCATAGAAGAAAAAAAAAACCACCAAAAAACAGCAAGAGATAAGAGAGGGGGCCAGAAACTGACATCTGACTGTAATGCATAATAAAAGCATAACACATGATTATTGCTGATTAAAATCTCTCAAAACAGAAAAAGCTCTAACCTTCTTGGTAAAAGCTTGAATTCAACTAATATTTTAATAAAAAAAGTAAAGCCAGAATATCAGTTTTATCAAGAGTTCAGAAGTCATTGTCTTACAATAAAGCGAAGAAAAACGTCAATACATGTTGTGCAAACAATTAAGTCTTCTCTACCCCAACCTCTGTGATCTTAAAACATTTCACAACAGGAGACAGACAGTCCTTAGTAGTTCTCATTCACTAACCAGATGTAGAATGCTCAGTTTCTACCAAAAATATTTAAAAGGCCATTTTTGCCTACTCCAACAGGAAAGGTGTTTTTTTTTTAGTTATTGTTTTTAATCATGTAGAAGTAACATTGTGTACTTGTAATTTAAGGTAGCTTATTTCGGGAGGAAAAAAAAAAGTAGAGGTGGGTAGTTAGTTTTACTTTTACTGTAGCAAAAAAAGTCCAACAAAAAAAAAAGTCTACCACCACCTGTAATAGTTAGATTACTCTATAACTCGAGGAATGACAGCTTATCACTTGTCTAATTTAGTTGTCTAACAAAACAACTTTGATTTAATGGACAATGTCAAATAGATATCTAATGAAACAATTAAAGAGCAAACTAGTAGCATTTATGCTATGACATTTGCCAATTAATTTATTCTTTCATTACTGACAGGTAAGCTTGCATCCTTTCACAACAGTAAACAGACAGAACAATAGGAAGTCACCACACAGTACTAAAAAAAATATTTAAGTGCTATTTGTAGAAAACCACAGCGAAGATGAACACCTCTCCCCAAACGCAAGGAAAACACAGAGGCAGTTTTCCTTTCCAGTCCATTACAAACAGGAAAAAAAACCTATGCAGACAGTATTGTGAATTACATTCAAAATGTCACCTGGTATTTCACTAAAAGTTTTGGAAGCTTCAGCAAAGACTGCCACAATATCCTTTCATAGGCTTTTACGAGACTTAGTGCTGTTACAGAATTTGTATGGCTCCTGGAGGCATGCAATACCGTCAGCTTTCTGAAAACATACATATTTTTAAATGCAAAACAAAGTCAACAATTTTTTAATGCTTTGAGGTGAGTATGCCTAAATTCAGACCCCCGAACCAAGCCAAACATCCCTCAGCAAGCATCACAAATAGCTTTCAGGACTTTCTCTTGAAATACCACGATCTATCTCATCAGTAACTTTCTAGACAGATTTTTTCAACTACATATAGGGAAGACTGGAAATACATGGCCACCTATCTTCCATGTCACACAAAATACTAGCACAAAAAATGCACATAACAGAGCAGTTAGACCCTGCAGACCAGTAAGGCATCTAAAAGCAATTTGCTCATTAAGATGATGAGTTTTTTCATCTATTATGCCCCAAAAGTGTGAAAACACATTAAATTGTTTGAGACAACACTCTCCAAACGGTATCAACCATGATAATTTAGTTGGCATCCATATCGGAACGTACTGTGGGAGCAGGTGGCCAAGAGCCCAGCTCCACTGCTTAGCATCCTCTGCCAAAACACTATGCAACTGCCTATTGAGAAGTTACCTGCTCCTCAACCCTTCTGTTTCTCCTATCTCTCCAATACCTGGAGAAAAAGCAATAGTGTGACTCATGTATTTGTTCTGTAAAAATCTTAGTGCCTTTCCACCTGCTCAATTAAAGTTATTTTTAGAGGATGCAAATGTGAGGGGCAGCACTGTGGTTCTGAACAGCTCCTCGCCCTTGCCCTCCAGTCATGCCTCCCGATGGGAAACCTGAACATCGCATGGATGTAAGGCCTTTGCCCCCGAGGTTTAAGAAAGCAAAAGGGTATCTGAAATATTTAAACTAATTCCTCTTAGGTCTCTGCACAGCAAGTCACAGCACAAGACTTAAATGAAGTTTGTCATAAACAAACATCCACATCAACTCCCCCAGATGTATCAGAACTCAGACTTTATTAGGCTTAGTTATGCTTAGGGGTTTTTGCCTTTTTTCCAGCAGTGTATTAGCCGAAGATAAGGTTTTACTTCCTAGAACCAGCATGTGAAACCCACAGAGCGTTCCTGTATCTCCCGTTCATTACCTATACTGCTGTATTTTCAAACGTGCTTGCCCAGAAAGTTACTCCTAGCTTAAACTTAAATAGAGAGCGGGCAGCACTCCCAGACGCGTCCACAGGAACAGCCTCCC